ACAAATCTATACAAGGAGATTTCACATTGACTTTCATCCTCCCACAGACACTAGTGGAAATTCTTCATTGGGTTGGTAAAGAAAATAGTCTCTTTTCTGGTCTGGATTTCTCAGCTGTGTTGCCCTACCTTGACTGGTCATCTTCCGTGTGAGGCATTCTGTACTAGGAAGGCTGTTCCCAAATATTTGTGCATTAATCTCAGTATTTGCTTATGGGTAGTTTAATGTGCAGTTTAAGTAGAGCTCTATCAAAGTTTTTAACCCTAGTTTATCGTGAAATCTAGCATAAATATGTATATAAAGCATATAAAATATACACTTCAACCAATTATATAAAATGAAAAGCTTATAACCACCATGCAGATCTACATACAGAACATTACCAACACCTCAAAGCCCTCAATGTACCCTGCTTGATTATAGTACCAACCATTCTCCAATTCTTCCTCTATACTCTGTTGCAAACATTTCCTGGCTTGCTTTACAGCGTTATCACCAAGTAAGGCCTTATCATCATGTACATCCAGCCCAAAAAAAGATGAAGAGAATGTGGAAAGATATAATGTGGCTTTGAACCATTGTCCATCATGTCCAGAACTTTCACATGACAAAATGCACTCCAGTAAAGACTGGGAAATATGTGTTTTGGAAGAATAGTGAACAGCAATGATCCGTAGCAGACTTGGCTAATTACATAGGTGCCTAACAAATATCAATAATGAGAGAGTACATACGATATTGTATATAAGAACGTACTGCTGACCCTGGGACCTAGTAGGCACCTAAAACGGGAATGTTTACTTTAGGACACTCCTATTCATTTTCATTTATTGCATAGCTGGTATAAAACAAGAATATAAACATACATCCTAAATTAAGACAATAGAGCTATGTAATTTGAAATGTGAAGTTTACTCTCTGGACATTTTTCTTATTTGAGTATTATACTGTTATTTGTGTTCAAAGGCACTTTCCCTAAACTCACTAAAAATATTGTTCATGTTTCCCTGATTTTTTACAAGTAGCGAAACTTTGTATAATTTTAAAAAATCCTTAATATATTTAGAATCAAAACACCCAAGCCGCAATCCTATCTCTACCACTTATAATTTTATATTTGGAGCAAGTCATGAACATCTCTGGGCAGCAGCAGGTCCATCATCTAGAAATGGGAGCTTGGATTCCCTCCCCCATTAGCCTCCTAGTTCTTCCCTGAGGAGCACAGAGACTGGCAGATGGGACAGTGCAGAGGAAACTATGCACTCGCTCCTCCAAAGAGCAATTGTCACACTTGCACAAGTCTCTATATTGATGTTTGCAGTGTATTAATTCAATTTTATGCCACAGAGGGACTTTAAACACTGCGGGTGATTCCACCAGCCTCCCCCTCACTGGGGAAGATATTAGGCTCTGCCTCAGTTGCAAAACTTCCTCACTTTTAGTGAGAATTTAATGTTTAAAGGTACATATTTGTACAACATGGCCTCTGAATATACATTACTTCATTTGATGCTCAGCTGAACTAGTAGTAAAATACCCCAATGCTAGAGAGAAACCAACGTGCCAGATTTATGGAAAACACCCTTTCGTTCCCAACATGGACATGATGCCAACAAAATCAATTTCAGAGTAATTTTGACCATTTAAGACTCTTTTAGGATTTTTCTTCAGATGCAACTACAATGTTGTCTTGTGAAAATCTCTTCCTCTTTGTCATGCTTTCTGTATGTTGGTGACATTCAGTATGTTGCAACAAGTTACTAGGCACCTAGCAATTAAAAAATGCTGGTGTGTGTGTGTGTGTTTGTGTGTGTGTGTGTGTGTATGTGTGTATTATAGTGTAGGAAGTTGATTTAAAGAAGAGTGCAGAGCGGGCTTCAATCGATACTGGGATTTGAGGCACTAAGAGAATGTAGAACTCAAATCTCATTTCCTTCTGGCTTTCATCAGCTTTTAACCAGAGTGCACTCTGATCTTGCTCATTCCAAACTCAATCCTGTACTTGCTTAGAGAAAGTTCACATTAAACAAATTCGGCATATAATCAGCAAACTTTCTTTCTGGGCTATACGTATGAGAGTCATTGTCTATTATCACACAGAAATTCCAACCTTTCCTACTGACTTGGAAACATCTTCTTCCTAAAAATCAGCATAGGAAAATCTCATGCTTTGCCTGTTTAATTCTCAGCTGTGACAACCTCAGTAGAATTATAGTTTGTCTCATAACTTCTTCACATTTAAAGAAACCTACAAAGGACAATTCATTGTTGTATATATAAAACACTCAGAATTGATTTCCCTCCCTTTAAAAGAAAACCAAATAAATGCATAATGCTAAAAGTTGCAAACTAAAAGATATCAACTAAGCTGCATCCTATAAATTTTCCACTATTACCTTCCATATCTTTTTATCTCTTAAAATTATTTTTCTTCAAAATATCTTAAAGAATAAAACCTAACTTAAAGAAAGTGTATCTTTTCTGAAATTGAAAAAGATTTTATTTGTATTTTGAGGCTTCTCAAATGAAAAATTAATGACCTAGATTAATCCATTCTTTGGGCTGACTCAAGTAGTAATAAAATACATAACAGCATGGATGTACTTCTGCAATGTCTACAAAACATTTCAAATAGCACAAATATTATTTATCTATTTAGAAACACTGTTCAACAAAAAAGCAATTTATCAAAAGGTAAAAGAAAAATCAAAAGAAAACTCCAACTAAGATCAACTGTTTTATAATAACATAACTTTTTGAGTGAAAATAGAGCAAGTTGATATTGGGGCTAGAGGTT